ATCTGTGCATAGGCGTGACGGGTGTGATAAGGAGGAACCCCCCCCCCACGCTAAGGAGGTCGAGGGAGGGCGGGCGGACTTGCGGGGAGGCGGGTCAGGGAGCGAAGGATTCCTCCCTAATCGCTCGCTGCTTGAGTCAATATTGATCCTCTCCTCCCTCCTGCCCTCCCTCCTTCTCCTCCCCTTCCCTCCTCCTTTTTTTACCTCTTCTCCTTACTTCATTCCCTCTTCGTCCCTTCCCAGTCCTCTTTCGATCCTCCTTCCCTTATTCACTCACCTCATTACCCTTTTTCTCCCCTTCCCTCTTTCCTTTCCTTCCTCACCCTTTATTCCTCCTTCCCCTTCCCTCTCTCCCTCCCCCTTCTCATTATCCTTCCTCTTCCCTCCAGCTCACCCCCTTCTTCATCCCTCCCTCATTCCCTTCTTTCCCTTCCTCCTTTCTCTCCCCTTCCCTTCTCTCACCCTTCCCCCTTCCGCTCCCTCCTCCCCCCTCCTCTACCCCTACCCCCACCTTCCCTCTCTCTTCCTTCCTCCCCTCCCCCCCTCCCGCCCCCTGCCAAGTTCCCCAAAGTGAGGCTTAAGTCAGTGTTACTTATCAACACTGAATGCACTGTGTATCGCTTTACTTGTCAATACTGAAAGCGCTATGTGTGTGCAGTGTTGCCAGTCTTTATTGAATGCACTGTGCTAGCTTCAGGGACAGTCTGACCAGCGCTGCAAATCAAAGCGACAAAATAAGGAAAAAAAAAATGGCATTGCCGACTGGTCAATCAACGTACTTTGCATATTTGGATTTTTTTTTTTTCTTTTAACAAAATATTATTGCCATTTCACATATTTATTTACCCTCTTTATCAACATTTTTAAAAAGTAATCTTGTAATGCCACGCGCTTCGACAACATTCCGACCAAAGACGTTGAACACGCGCGCAAAAAAGGGAAAATATTTGCATAACTTGTGCCACATCAATTCCGCGCGATTTTCTCGTCTCTCGCCTCAAGCAGATAAGGCAAAGACAAGGAATGTTCATCCTGCCATTAACTAGGAAGAAACTCCTTCGACAATCTAGCTCTTAAACGCACCAAAAAAGGACTCGCACTTTGTCGGTTTCTTCCTGTCATCGTCTGCGTTTCTGTAGTTTGTTTATATCTTTTATCTGTCCCTCGTTATCTCCTTTTCTCTACATTTATTTCGGTCCTTTTCTCCCTTTTTCTTTCTATTTTCATACCTCATCCCACATCAAATCCACTTTGTGACATTTTCCATTTTTCTATATTTCTTTTTTCTTTTCTTTTCTTCTTACTAAATATCCTTAACATCCTTCTGACCCCTTTGTCCCTCAGCAAGACCCCAGAAAGACCCCTAAAAGGACCCCAGAAGACCCCCAAAGGATTCCCGAAAAAAAAACGACTCCCAGGACCCCCAAAAGACCCCAGAACGACCCCGAAGGATTCCAGAAAAACAGCACTCCCAGAAGGACCCCGAAGGATTCCAGAAAACCCCCAGAAGGACGCTCAGAAGTACCCCCCCCCGAAGGATTCCAGAAAGACCCCAGAAGGACCCCAGAAAGACCCCGATCCCCGTAGCAAGCTCTGCCTTCGGAGCAGATGCGTCAGCCAGCCCGGCCGGTCGTGTCCCCCGCCTCGCCTGTCACCATCCCGCGCCCCTTCGCCTCCCGACACGCTGTACCTGTCAATATCCTTCACGCGGCTCTCCTACAAGGACTCCCCTGCCACCCCTCCTCCCCTCCTCCCCCCCGACTCTTTTTCTCTTTCCTCTCCTTCTCAACGTATTCTGTTTCGTCCGTGAGTGTCGGTCCTCGCCTCTTGTGGGCGCTCTTCTCTTCTCATTTGTTTTTATTCTTTCCCTTTCTCCTCCCCTCTTTCTCTCCTCCTTAGCTTTCTTCCTTATTAAGGCTTCTTTATTTTTTCGCGATTTTTCTCATTTATTCCCTCTCCTCCTCATATTCTCCTCTCCCTCTCTCTTCCCCCTTCTTCCTTGAATTCTTTCACTGCTCGTTCTATCTCTCTGTTTTCTCCTCTCCCTCTTCTTCCCTTTAATTTCTCCCCTGCTTGTCCTTTCTCTGTGTGTTTTCTCTCCCTCTCTCTTCCCCTTCCCTGCTTTTCCTTTCTCTCTGCCCTCTCCTCTCCCTCTCTCTCCCCTATCTCCTTCTAATTTCTTTCTTGTCCTTTCCTCTCCCTCCCTCTTCCCCTTTCTCCCTCTAATTCTTTCCCTGTTTGCCCTTTTCTTCTGTTCTCCCTCTCCCTTTCCGTCTATTCCTATTTTACTTTCTACCCCTACCCCCTACCCCTACCCGACCTTCAGTCTGTCCGTGCCCCCTACTCCCCCTACCCCCTCCCTCTTAGCCGTGCCTATACATTCTCCCCTCCTAGTTGGCCCTTGCCCCTACCCCCTACCCTTCAATCCGTCCCATGCCCTATTCCCCTCCCCCCTCCACCCCTCCTGCTTATCTCTACCTCGTGCCCCTACCCCTACCCTCCAATCTGTCCTATGGCTTATCCCCTACCCCCTCCACCCCTTTTATTTTAACCCTTGCCTCGTGCCCCGTGCCCCTACCCCTCCTTGCCCCGTGCCCCTACTCTCCCTCCACCCCTCCCTGCCTCGTGCCCCGTGCCCCTACCCTCCCTCCACCCCTCCTCGACTCGTGCCCCTACCCCTTCACCCCTCTTCGCCCCGTGCCCCTACCCATTCCCTCCCCTCCCACGTGCCCCTCCTTCTCTGGCTTTCGTCCGGCCTAACACCTGGCCCGATGCCCCATACCCGTTCACTGCCTATGCCCGAGCGCCTGTTCGCACCTCATGCCCCTCGCCGGCGCCGCCTCTCCGCTAATCGTGTCCGTGTTCCGCTCCTTGTCGTTCCGTTGTCGTTCCGTCTCGCGGGGAACGAAGGAGAGGGTCTCGCGTTTCTTCTTCCCCTTCGTCTCCTCTTTCTTTCTTTTCCTCTAGTTTTTTTCATCCTCTTCTTCATTTCTTCATCGCCTTCTTCATTTCTTCTGCTTTCTTTTTTTCATCTTCTTTTTTCACTTCTTTCTCCTCCTCCTCTTCATCTTCTTCTCCGCTTTCTTTCGTTTCTTTTTGTTCTTTTGTGTTCTTGTTTTTCTTTTTATAAAGATCGCTTTCTTGTCTTTCCTTTTTTTGTTTCTTTCTCTTGTTTTATTATTTTTGTTGTAATGTTAACATTCTTCTTCTTTTTTTATTCCTCTCTTCTTCGTCTTCTTCCTCCTCCTCAACCTCTTCTTCTTCTTGTTTTTTTTTTCCTTTCTCTTCTTTTTTCCTTTTTCCTTTTGTTTTTCTACTTCTCCGTCTTCCTCCTCTTCTTCTTCCTCTTTTTTCTACTTCTTCTTTTCCTTCTTATTCTTATTCTTCCTCCTACTCCTTTTACTTTTCTTTTTCTTCTTGTTCTACTTCGTCTTCGTTTTTTCCCCTTCTTACTTCCTTCTTCCTTCTCATTTTCTTTTCTTCTTCTTCTTCTCCTCCTCCTTTTTTTCTTCTTTTCCGTCTTCTTATTCTCCCTTTCTTTCTTCTTCTCCTTCTTCTACTTTCTTCATAGCTTTCTGTATATACACATTTTCCGTTTTGTTTACATTCTATTCGTTTCATCATTCCAAAAACCTGCAGATCCCAAGGAAGACAAAATAAAAATATTTCTAAATCAGGTCATCAGACTGAATATATCTTTTAGACGATTCAAGACTAAACATTTTATTGCAAAACCAACAACGAATCGTTTTCGTCAATTATAATTCGATGGATTCATAACAATTATTTTTTCCTTGCTTTTATATAATTTATAAACTGTATTTAAATACTTGATATTCTATATTGCGTTCTACCAGTCTATAATGATTTTGATTGACGGCGAATAAGACCACGGAAATTTTACACCTTAAATGATATATAGATATGGGAATATATGCAGGTGTGAATAATATATGTATACATAATCATAAGCTTATACATACACACACACACATACACTCACACACACATATATATACATATGTACATATACATGCAAATTTACAAACATGCATACATACATTCATGCAAACATATTTTTCCATACATACATACATACAAACATACATACATGCATACATACATACATACACACATACAAACATACGTACATGCATACATATACACACACACGCACACATATATGTGTAAGTGTGTGTGTGTGTGTGTGTAAGAGCATGTATATATGTAAAAAACAAGAGAAAAAGCCCACAGACGGCAAAGAGCGCAGAGGAGGAGAAATATAAGAATAGAGACAGCCAAGCGATTCCCTCAGGCCGCCCTCGGACGCCCGCGAGCACGCCCCTCAACCCAAGGGCGTCGCGTCTCTTCCTCATCCTCGGCCTCCTTCTCCTCCCCTTTCTCTCCTTTCCTCTCTTCCCATTTTCTCCTTTTAGTCCTATTTCTATTCTCTTTATTCTTCCTTGCTTTTGATTTTTTTTCTTTCCCTCTTCCCCTCCTTTCGCCTTTCTTTTCCCGCTTTTCTTTTTCTTTTTTCTCCTCTTCCTTTCTTCTCTCATTTTCCTCCCCCTTTCTCCTTTTCTTTTTTCCTCTGTCTTCCTCCAACTCTTGGTATGGAGAAGCAGAGGAAAGAGGGGGAGATGAGAATAAGGGAATAGGGGGAATAGGGGAAGAGAAACGAGAGGGAGAAAGAGGAAGCAGGGAAGAGATGAGGAGGGAGGGGAAGAGCGAGAGGGAAGAGAGGTAAGAGAGAGAGAGAGAGAGAGAGAGAGAGAGAGAGAGAGAGAGAGAGAGAGAGAGAGAGAGAGAGAAGAGAGAGAGAGAGAGAGAGAGGGGAGGGGGGGGGGGAAGGAATAGAAGAGGAAAGGGGAGAGGGACGTCGAGGTGTCAGAACTGTCAACAGCGGCTGTCACGTGACACTACGACGCTCTTCTGACCAGGGCTCAGTGCCATCCCGAAGTCGGGCTGACACCTGAAGGAGTGTCAGGAAAAGATAAGATGCGAGAGAGAGAGTAAAGCGAGATAGAAGAGAAATAGAGGAGAAAGAGAATATGATATGCAACGTGAAACGAAACGAAGAGAAGAGAGAGAGACAGAGAGAAAAGGAGAGAGAGAAAGGTAGATAGATAGTGAAGCGGTGTGTGTGTGTGTGTGTTGTGGTGTGTGTGGTGTGTGTGTGTGTGTGTGTGTGTGTGTGTGTGTTGTGTGTGTGTGAGAGAGAGAGAGAGAGAGGAGAGGAGAGAGAGAAGAGAGAGAGAGAGACAGAGAGAGAGAGAGAGAGAGAGAGAGAGAGAGAGAGAGAGAGAGAGAGAGAGAGAGAGAGAGAGAGAGAGAGAAGAGAAGAGAGAGAGAAGAGACAGAGAGAGGAGAGGAGGAGAGGAGAGAGAGAGAGAGGAGAGAGAGAGAGAGAAGAGCGATGGAGTAGATAGAGCGTGAGAGAGAAAGAGAGAGAGAGAGAGAATGACAGACAACAGATAAGATAGAGAGGGAAAGAAGAGACACCAGCACCTTCATCCTCCTCATCCTTCCGCATCGTAAGGATTCCTCTCGCGGGAAAATGCTCACAAGTGGTTCATCTTCGGTGATGTGAGGTGAGGCAAGGGGAGGGGATGGGGGTGAAGGGAAAAAGGGGGGGGGGCGATGGGAGGGAGAAGTGGGGGGAGAGGAGGGAAGGAGGGGGGGGGCGGAAGGGAAAGGGGAAGTGCGGGGGGAGACGGGAGGGGCGATGGAGAGTGGAGGGGGATAATAAGGGGAAGAAGGAGGGAGGGAGGGGCGAGGGGATGGAAGGGGGAGAAGGGAGAAGGAGGGAGGGGAGGAGCGATGGGGGGTGAAGGGGGAAAAGGGGGGGTGAGGGAGGAGGGGGAGCGAGGGAATGGAGGGAAGAAGTGGGGGAGAGGAGGGAGGGAGGGCGAGGGGTTGGAGGGGAAAAGGGAGAGAGAGAGAGAGGAGGGAGGGGAGGGCGGGGTGATGGAGGGGAGAAGGAGAGAGAAGAGAGGAAGGAAGGGCGGGGGGATGAGGGGGAGTAGTGGAACGGGGAGGAGTTGGAAGGGTGAGGGAAGACGGGTAGAGGGGGGGGGGAGAATAGAATATGGGGGGAGGGGCACGTGGCGGGGCAGTGCTGACTATATCTATGAGCATTGTAAGGGATTTTTTTTCCTGCTATTAATGATCTTTATTGATTCTGTAAAAAAAAAATCGTCTCTAGAAATAATTTTATGTAGAAATGATCTTCAGTAGAAAATGTCTAACACACGGTTCAAAAGATGTGATACGTGGATGTAAAAATAAAACATCAAGGTTATATGTTGCGCGATTCGTCACACTCGTCACATTCGCGAGGATTTGCAAGCACGGCCGCTGCGTCAGAACATGTCGCACCCTGATCTGCCGGCGTGAATCACTCTGCAACATGACCCAAGACCGATGATGTATAAACATAATTTACGCCGAGGAATTCAAGATGCAAGCCGACCAGGCGAGGTTTATAAACACAGGCTGATATAAGGATGACACTCGATTCATCATGTAAATCGACGGAATATAAATGCAAATGAATTGAGAAATCAGGACTGAGCAGAGGCGGCGCTCCTCGCCTGACCTAATAGCTATCCGTTGTCACAGGGCGCGCGGCTCGGCCCGTCAAGCCGTAACCCTTGTTGAGCTTAAGCCTCTGAAGAAGGAGCTTACCACAGCTTCCCAGCGGCTTGGCTTGAGTTCCCCATCAGCCTGCCTTTGATAAAAGGTAGAGGGAAAATATATAGAGGAGAAGAGAAGAAATACGGAGGGCAGAGCCAGAGCAGAGAGAGAAGAGAAGAGAGAGAAGAAGGAGTAGAGACTGAGATGAGAGAGAGACAAAGAGAGAGAGAGACAGATAAACGGAGACGAGTAGAGACGAGCAGAGGCGAGAGGAGGGAGAGAGAGATGACAGCGAGCGAGCGAGATAGGGAGAGGAGAAGAGAAGAGTAAAAGGAGAGGGATAGAGAGAGAGAGAGAGATAGAGACTGAGAAGACGAGACGAGAGAGGTAGTAAGACGAGAGAGGAGAAGAGAGAGAGGAGACAGAAGAGAGTAAGCGGAGAGAGAGAGTCACATAGGCAAGAGGAGAGGAGAAGAGAGCACAGTGAAGAGAGAGAGAGAGAGAGAGAGCAAAAAGAGAGGGAAGAGAGACGAGAGAACCGATAGCAACATGACAAACGCAGAGAAGAGAGAGAGAGAGAGAAAGAGAGATGAAGAGCAGAGAAGAAAGAACGAGAGAAAGAGATAGAAGAGAGAAGAGAGGAGAGCAGAGAGAGAAGGAAGAGAGAGAGGGACAGAGAGAGAAAGAGAGAGAACAAGAGAGAGAGTAGAGAGAGACGAGAGAGAGAGGAGAGGCCGAGACGGCAGACGGAGAGGGAGAGGACGCTGGGAAGTGGGAAGAGGCCACGTGCCCCACTTATCGGACGAGAGGCCTGCCGGTGCGCGACCGGCACCCTCAGGGATTACCTGAGGGGCAAAGCTCGACGCACGGTATTCGCGCTCCTCCGGACACGCGGTCCCCGGCCCTTTAAACCTACTTATCCTGCTGAGGCATCTACCACCCGTTGTCAGCCGACGAACGAGCGCGAGGCCACGTGCGGAGAGACGCGCACTGACACGGCAGAGGGACGAGACTCGGTACCGCAGACTAAAATCTCGCCGAGGGCCCAGAGATGCTAGCTGAGTTCGCTTGGTTACGCGGCGTGTGCGCGCTTGCTGGGGAGAGGGTGTCGCCACATGCCCCTAGTTCCGCCTCCGCACCCTTCACCCTAGTCCCGATAGAGAGGAGAGGGAGAGGACTCAGAGAGGGAAGGGGGAAGAACGGATCAGGATAGACTGAGTCTGAGAAGTAACGCGCCAGTCCCTGCATAGGAGAAGTCGCCGAGTCTAGTTCCCCGCGTGCGTGCTGATAGAGAGGGAGAGGAGAGCGACTCAGCGAGGAGAGGGAGAGGAGACCGTGAGAGCGAGAAGAGAGAGAGAGAGAGAGACGAGAGAGAGGAGAGAGAGAAGAGAGAGAGAGAGAAGAGAGAAGAGAGAGAGAGAGAAGAGAGAGAGAGAGAGAGAGAAAGAAAGAGAGAGATTGAGAGAAAGATCCAGAAAGAAAAAGAGATTAAGAAAGAGAAACAGAAAGATAGAAAAAAAGAAAAAGAAATGCAGACAGAAAGAGAGAGATAAAAACGAAAGAGAGATCGACAAGAGGAAGACACCAATAGCATTAAGGCAGCTTAGGGCGCGGCCAAGACGATCGAAAAGGGTTTTGGGCGACCGTGTGTTTTCAGATCGATCCGAAGATGCCGACAGCTCCTGCGTCTTAGCGAATAGTATTTGTCCCTCGCGTCTTCTCCTGAAGCAAAAGGTCAAGCGGGATCTTAATGGAGATGCTGGCGGCGTCAAAGACAAGAAGCAGAAGAGAAGAAAAAAAAAAAAGGAAAAAAAGAAAAAAAAGTGGAAAACACGAATAGCTTACATACCAAGGGAGTAACGGCGCAGTACCAAGGGTTCCTTATAGCGTAGAGGGTGGACGACGTACTTAATTGGCTGCGAATCTCTTCGTTCTCCTGCAAATATTCGGTGGATAATAATGCTAAGTCACTGTGTAGGAAAGTATGATTTTATCCTATTTCTAGTCTACATATCTTAATCTATATTCCTATAAATCTTTCGTCTTATTTCTATAGACGATATGGTAGCGACGGACATGGCAGTGAAGATATTTACGTTTTTCCCTTTTTTGTAATATGTTCTAAAAGCAGGTTATAAATGACACACAACGATAAAGTTCTTGACTGATACATGACACATAGACGCCGAGAGATCAAGGCAACTGAAGATAGATATTTGATAATGATTTTCTTCCTTAAACACGCTCGGCCTTGCTGTGAATTTGCATAGCGCATTTTTTTTATACACATAGATATACACGGCCTACTGTATTTCGGTATGTGGTGCAATAGGCTAGTTCATTTACATATGTACACGTTGTAATTAGAGATCAGGACAATCCTCGGCTTAAAATTAAAAAAATAATGAATGAATAAGCAAATGATAAAAAAAGTGATGAATGCATAAATAAGAAGATTGATAATAAATAAATATACATATAAATGAATGAGTAATAAAAATAAATACATAGAAGAATATTTATATAAATAAATAAATCTAGTGAAAATATAGATCGTTAAGTCTTTTTTTTGTGTGTAAACACTGAAAACACTCTAGTACACAGCATGACAAGCGCCAAAAAATGCTTCTTCATACTCATGAGCGTGACCGTGTGTAAGGAGCGTGTCGTGACGGCGTGACACTGGAGACAAGTGTGATACTGTGAAGGGAAGTAACACTTTAAGCGAAGTTATGAAAGCACGATATTCTGAGTAAAACAAAACAAAAAACGTGTGATATCTTAACTGGAGGTCTTGGGGATTCGAAATGCTATTTCATTATGTTTTGTTTCTTATTTGTGGTTCAAAATGGCTAGATTTTTTTCTTAGTTTTATGAATACATAGATTACAAGAGGGAATAAACGTTTATGTCCACAAAGAATTAATATTAGATCTTAAAAATAACTATAAACTGAATAATATTGTAAAACAAACATTAATCAGCGAATTGATAAATCACACAATGCGTGAAAAAATAATAAATACGATGAAACAGATCATGAAAGAGTACACAGAACTTCCAACGGCGCCACCCATCAACTTCAGCTATAATAAAACAATGCATTACATTCTTAAACACATCAATTATCTTTCTTGCAGCCAGGGGACGAAATGCCAGCGGCTTGAACAAAGAATTATAACACCGAAGCCTCACGGGATAATGGCCGGTTGTTAATCGTATCAGAAAAAAGACATTTTTCTCATGCCGGCCGCCGCGCGCCAGAACTCGCGAGGGCGGAGTCAAGTGCGCGTGACATCGAGGGGGCGGGGCTTCGCTGGCGCTCGTTTTCTGTGGTTCGGTGTCGGTTCGTCTGTCGGTCTCTTTCGGTTCGTCTGTCGGTCTCTTTCGGTTCGTCTGTCGGTCTCTTTCGGTTATTCTGTCGTCTCTTGGTCGTATTCTGTCGGTCTCTTTCGGTTCGTCTGTCGGTCTCTTTCGGTTTCTGTCTATTCTGTCTCTTTCGGTCTCTTTCTCTTCGGTTATTCTCGTTCTCTTTCGGTTCGTGTCTCTCTCGGTTATTCTGTCGGTCTCTTTCGTTCGTCTGTCGGTCTCTTCGGTTCGTCGGTCTCTTTCGGTTATTCTGTCGGTCTCTTTCGGTTCGTCTGTCGGTCTCTTTCGGTTATTCTGTCGGTCTCTTTCGGTTCGTCTGTCGTTCTCTTTCGGTTCGGTCGGTCTCTTCGGTTATTTGTCGGTCTCTTTCGGTTATTCTGTCGGTCTCTTTCGGTTCGTTGTCGTTCTGGTTTCGTCTGTCGGTCTCTTTCGGTTATATTCTGTCGGGTCTCTTTCGTTATTCTGTCGGTCTCTTTCGGTTCGTCTGTCGTCTCTTTCGGTTCGTCTGTCGGTCTCTCTTTCGGTTCGTCTGTCGGTCTCTTTCGGTTTTCTGTCGGTCTCTTCGTTCTGTTCGGTTCGTCTGTCGGTCTCTTTCGGTTCGTTTGTCGGTCTCTTTCGGTTCGTCTTCGTTCTCTTTCGGTTCTCGTTGTCGGTCTCTTTCGGTGTCGGTCTCTTTCGGTCTGTCGGTCTCTTTCGGTTATTCTGTCGGTCTCTTTCGGTTATTCTGTCGTTCTCTTTCGGTTCGTCTGTCGGTCTCTTTCGGTTATTCTGTCGGTCTCTTTCGGTCTCTTTCGGTTATTCTGTCTCTCTTTCGGTTCGTTTGTCGGTCTCTTTCCCTCTCTCTCGGTTATTCTGTCGGTCTCTTTCGGTTCGTCTGTCGTCTCTTGTTCGTTTGTCGGTCTCTTTCGGTTATTCTGTCGGTCTCTTTCGGTTCGTCTGTCGGTCTCTTTCGGTTATTCTGTCGGTCTCTTTCGGTTCGTCTGTCGGTCTCTTTCGGTTCTCGGTCTGTCGGTCTCTTTCGGTTCGTTCTGTCGGTCTCTTTCGGTTCGTTCTGTCGTCTCTTTCGGTTTTTCTGTCGGTCTCTTTCGGTTCGTCTTCGGTTTCGGTCTGTCGGTCTCTTTCGGTTCGTCTTTCTCTTTCGGTTTTCTGTCGTCTCTTTCGGTTTCTGTCGTCTCTTTCGGTCTGTCGGTCTCTTTCGGTTATTCTGTCGGTCTCTTTCGTTCGTCTGTCGGTCTCTTTTCGGTTTTTCTGTCGGCTCTTTCGGTTCGTCTGTCGGTCTCTTCGGTCGTCTGTCGGTCTCTTTCGGTTTCGTCGGTCTTTCGGTTTCTGTCGGTCTCTCGGTTCGTCTCGTCTCTTTCGTCTGTCGTTCTCTTTCGTTCTCGGTCTCTTTCGGTCTGTCGGTCTCTTTCGGTTCGTCTGGTTCGTCTCTCTTTCGGTTATTCTGTCGGTCTCTTTCGGTTCGTCTGTCGGTCTCTTTCGGTTCGTCTGTCGGTCTCTTTCGGTTTTTGTCGTCTTTCGTCTTCTGTCGGTCTCTTTCGGTTCGTCTGTCGGTCTCTTTCGGTTATTCTGTCGGTCTCGGTCTGTCGGTCTCTTTCGGTTCGTCTGTCGGTCTCTTGTCTGTCGGTCTCTTTCGGTTCGTCTGTCGGTCTCTTTCGGTTCGTCTGTCGGTCTCTTTCGGTTATTCTGTCGGTCTCTTTCGGTTATTCTGTCGGTCTCTTTCGGTTATTCTGTCGGTCTCTTTCGGTTATTCTGTCGGTCTCTTTCGTTATTCTGTCGGTCTCTTTCGGTTCGTCTGTCGGTCTCTTTCGGTTCGTCTGTCGGTCTCTTTCGGTTCTGTCGTCTCTTTCGGTTCTGTCGGTCTCTTCGGTTATTCTGTCGGGTTCGTCTGTCGGTCTCTTTCGGTCGGTCTCTTTCGGTCGTCTGTCGGTCTCTTTCGGTCGTGTCGTGTCGGTCTCTTCGGTTATCTGTCGGTCTCTTTCGGTTCGTCGGTCTCTTTCGGTTCGTCTGTCGGTCTCTTCGGTTCGTCTGTCGGTCTCTCTTCGGTTAGGTCTCTTTCGGTTCGTCTGTCGGTCTCTTTCGGTTATTTCGGTTCGTCTGTCGGTCTCTTTCGGTTCGTCTGTCGGTCTCTTTCGTTTCGTCTGTCGGTCTCTTGGTTCTGTCGTCTCTTTCGGTTCTCTGTCTCTCTTTCGGTTCGTCTGTCGGTCTCTTTCGGTTCGTCTGTCGGTCTCTTTCGGTTCGTCTGTCGGTCTCTTTCGGTTATTCTGTCGGTCTCTTTCGGTTCGTCTGTCGGTCTCTTTCGGTTATTCTGTCGGTCTCTTTCGGTTCGTCTGTCTGGTCGTCTCTCTTTCGGTTCGTCTGTCGGTCTTTCGGTTCGTCTGTCGGTCTCTTTCGGTTATCTGTCGGTCTCTTCGGTCTGTCGGTTCTTTCGGTTATTCTGTCTCTTTCGGTTCGTTCTGTCGGTCTCTTTCGTTATTCTGTCGTCTCTTTCGGTCTGTCGTCTTTCGGTTATTCTGTCATTCTCTTTCGGTTCGTTTGTCGTCTCTTTTCGGTTATTCTGTCGGTCCTCTTTCGGTTATTCTGTCGGGTCTCTTTCGGTTATTCTGTCGTCTCTTTCGGTTCGTCTTTCGGTTCGTCTGTCGTCTCTTTCGGTTTATTCTGTTCGGTCTCTTTCGGTTCGTCTGTCGGTCTCTTCGTCGGTCGTCTCTTTCGCGTTATTCTGTCGTCTCTTTCGTTCGTCTGTCGTCTCTTTCGGTTATTCTTCGTCTCTTTCGGTTCGTCTGTCGGTTCTTCGTTCGTCTGTCGGTCTCTGTGTCGGTCTCTTTCGTTTTCTGTCGTCTCTTCGGTTCGTCTGTCGGTCTCTTTCGGTTATTCTGGTCGGTCGGTCTCTTTCGGTTTTGTCGTCTCTGGTTCGGTCGGTCTCTTTCGGTTCGTCTGTCGTCTCTTTCGGTTCGTCTGTCGTTCTCTTCTCGGTCGGTCGGGTCTATTCTGTCGGTCTCGGTACTGTTCGCGGTCTCTTTACGGTTTCGTTTCGGTCTCTTTCGGTTCGTCTGTCGGCTCTTCTTTCGGTTCGTTCTGGTTCGTGTTCTCTTTCGGTTTCTTTCAGTTCTTTCGGTCTTCGGTCTCTTTTGGTTGTCTGTCGTTCTTTCGGTTCGTTTGTCGGTCTCTTCGTTATTCTGTCGGTCTCTTTCGGTTCGTCTGTCGGTCTCTCTCGGTTTCGTTTGTCGTCTATTTCGGTTCGTCTCGCGGTTCGTTCGAAATTCGTCTGGTCGTCTCTTTCGTTTTCTGTCGTCTCTTCTTCGTCTGTCGTCTTCTTCGGTTCGTCTGTCGCGATCTCTTTCGGTTCGTCTGTCGGTCTCTTCGGTTATTCTGTCGGTCTCTTTGGTCTGTCGTCTCTTTCGGTTCGGTCGTGTCCGGTCTCTTTCGGTTTCGTCATTTTCGTCCCTCTTTCGGTCATATTTCTCGTCCTTTTCGTCTATTCTTCGTCTCATTTTCGTTCGGTCTCTTTCGTTCGTCTGTCGGGTCTCTTTCTTATTCGGTTGTCTTCGGTCTCTGTGGTGCGTCGTCGTCATCTTCTGTCGGTCTATTCTGTCGGTCTCTTTCTGGTTCGTTTGTCGTTCTCTCTTTCGATGTCTTCTGATCGGTTCCTCTTTCGTTATATTCTGTCGGTCTCTTTCGGTTTCGTCGTCGTCTCTTTCGTTATTCTCTTTCGGTCTGTCGGTCTCTTTCGGTTTCGTTGTGTTCGGTTATTCTGTCGGTCTCTTCGTTCGTCTGTCGGTCTCTTTCGGTTCTGTCTGGGTCTCTTTCGGTCGTCGTTCTTTCGTTCCGTTATCTTTCGGTGTCGTCGGTCTCTTTCGTTCGTCGTCGTTCTCATTCGTTTTCTGTCGGTCTCTTTCGGTTCGTCTGTCGTCTCTTTCGGTTCGTCTGTCGTCTCTTTCGGTTATTCTGTCGGTCTCTTTCGTTATTCTGTCGGTCTCTTTCGGTTCGTCTGTCGGTCTCTTTCGTCGTTGTCGGGTCTCTTCGTTATTCTGTCGGTCTCTTTCGGTTCGTCTGTCGGTCTCTTTCGGTTCGTCTGTCGGTCTCTTTCGGTTCGTCTGTCGGTCTCTTTCGGTTATTCTGTCGGTCTCTTTCGGTTCGTCTGTCGGTCTCTTTCGGTTATTCTGTCGGTCTCTTTCGGTTTTGTCGTTCTCTTTCGCGTTTCTCTGTCGGTCTCTTTCGGTTATTCTGTCGGCTTCGTTCTTGTCGTTCGGTTCGTCTGTCGGTCTCTTTCGGTTATTCTGTTCGGTCTCTTCGTCGTCTGTTCGGTCTCTCGCGTCTCTTTCGGTTCGTGTCGGTCTCTTTCGGTTATTCTGTCGGTTCTCTTTCGGTCGGCGTCTGTCGGTTCGTTTCTCGGTTATTCTGTCGGTCTCTTTCGGTTCGTCTGTCGGTCTCTTTCGGTTCGTCTGTCGGTCTCTTTCGGTATTCTGTCGTCTCTTTCGGTTATTCTGTCGGTCTCTTTCGGTTCGGTTCGCTGTCGGTCTCTTTCGGTTCGTCTGTCGGTCTCTTTCGGTTCGTTTGTCGGTCTCTTTCGGTTCGTCTGTCGGTCTCTTTCGGTTCGTCTGTCGGTCTCTTTCGGTTATTCTGTCGGTCTCTTTCGGTTCGTCTGTCTCTCTCTTCGGTTGTCTGTCGTCTCTTTCGGTTATTCTGTCGGTCTCTTTCGTATTCTGTCGGTCTCTTTCGGTTATTCGTCGTCGTTCTTTCGCGTCGTCTGTCGTCTCTTTCGGTTCGTCTGTCGGTCTCTTTTCGGTTATTCTGTCGGTCTCTTCGGTTCGTCGGTCGGTCTCTTTCGGTTCGTCTGTCGGTCTCTTTCGGTTCGTTCTGTCGGTCTCTTCGGTTCGTCCTGTCGGTCTCTTTCGGTTCGTCTGTCGGTTCTCTTTCGGTTCGTCTGTCGTCTCTTTCGGTTCTCTGTTCGGTCTCTTTCGGTTCGTCTGTCGCGTCTCTTTCGGTCGTTGTCGTCTCTTTCGGTTCGTCTGTCGGTCTCTTCGGTTCGTCTGTCGTCGTCTCTCTTCGTTCGTCTCTCTTTCGTTCGTCGTCTCTCTTCGGTTCTCTGTCGGTCTCTTTCGGTTTCGTCTGTCGCGTCTCTTTCGGTTCGTTTGTCGGTCTCTTTCGTTCGTTTGTCGGGTTCGTCGTCTCTTTCGGTTCGTCTGTCGGTCTCTTTTCGGGTTATTCGGTTATTCTGTCGTCTCTTTCGTTTGTCGTCGTGTCTTCTCGGTCGGTCTCTTTCGGTTCGTCTGTCGTTCTCTTTCGGTTCGTCTGTCGGTCTCTTTCGGTTCGTCTGTCGGTCTCTTTCGGTTCTCTTTCGTCTCTTTCGGTTCGTCTGTCGGTCTCTTTCGGTTCGTTTGTCGGTCTCTTTCGGTTCGTTTGTCGGTCTCTTTCGGTTATTCTGTCGGTCTCTTTCGGTTCGTCTGTCGTCTCTTTTCGGTCTCTTTCGGTCTGTCGGTCTCTTTCGGTTCGTCTGTCGGTCTCTTTCGGTTATTCTGTCGGTCTCTTTCGGTTCGTCTGTCGGTCTCTTTCGGTTCGTCTGTCGGTCTCTTTCGGTCTGTCGGTCTCTTTCGGTTCTCTGGTTCATCTCTTTCGGTCGTCTGTCTCGTTCGTCTCTTTCGGTCGTCTGTCGGTCTCTTTTATCTGGTCGTCTTCGGTCTCTTTCGGTTATTCTGTCGGTCTCTTTCGGTTTTCTGTCGGTCTCTTTCGTTCGTCTGTCGGTCTCTTTCGGTTCGTCGTCGGTCTCTTTCGGTTATCTCTGTCGTCTCTTCGGTTCGTCTGTCGTTCTCTTTCGGTTCGTCTGTCCGGTCGCTCTCTCGTCTCTCTTTCGGTCGTCTGTCGGTTCTTTCGGTTCGTCTGTCGGGTCTCTTCGGTTCGTCTGTCGGTCTCTTTCGGTCTATCTGTCGGTCTCTTTCGGTTCGTCTGTCGGTCTCTTTCGGTTTCGTCTGTCGGTCTCTTCGGCGTCTGTCGGTCTCTTTCGGTGGTTCGTCTGTCGGTCTCTTCTTTCGCTCCGTTTCGGTTCGTCTTCTCTCTTTTCGGTTATTCTGCCGGTCTCTTTCGGTTCGTCTGTCGTTCTCTTCCAGGTCGTCTGTCGTTCTCTTTCGGGAGGGCGCTGTACAAGATGCTAAGGCCATGATGATCAAAGTTCCTGTTTTGCGTCCACCGACCGCAGGTCCCGACAACGCCCGCCAAAAAAATCATCATTTTCAATAAATTTTATTATTCCTCCAAAAATCGCACAAGACACCAGACGCTTTACTCCCACGTATCTACATCGTCCAATCTGCACAATAAACACATGTTTCTATAAACCAAAGTAAACATGTCAACTTCAAAACACTTTTGGTAACATTTGTGAAAAGAACATTATCCCTACAACCAAAGTAACATCTATGAAAGCAACAATTATCCCTACNGACTCTGCTTCGCCACTTGTCATACTTTTAATGGTACGCAATTCCCGATCGCCCGGCGAAACCTTTCGCCAGCACTGGCGAAAGGTTTTAAAAGTACGGGCCCTACGCCTCACCTGCAATGCTGTCTGCCATCACCAGCGAGTTGGCTACGATGGCAATTCGGCATCGGGCTCAGCGCGTTTTCATGCCCTGATATGACTGACGTCAGACTATATAAGAAAGATAGGGAAGCACGTATCACACCGAATAGGAAAAATGTGAGGTCCAAATCTTCATATAGCGCAATCTATTGTTCAGATATGTAACTAAGAAAAGAGAACGTTTATAGAGGGGGCAATAATTTTATATAGATTTTAATTTTTTAATTTTAGTTTTAAAGGTTTAGTTTCAGTTGAAGTGCTGTTTTTTTTTTTTTTTTTTTTTTTTTTTTTTTTTTAATAAGAGACTTGAAACGTATCTATCAAAGAATTACTATATATATATATATATATATATATATATATATATATATATATATATATATATAATATATGGAATTATATAATTATTCTGTTCTTTAATAACTTTTTGTTGGAGATTTTACATACATTAAAATAAGCTTTTGCACTATCTTTTTTTTTTTTTTTTTGGAAAATGACAATAAAACATTTATTGATAATCATCTCATGTGTATTTATATTTGCATATCATAAAATTATTCCATTGTCTAAATACTATACAATTTCATTGCAGAAAATATCTTCGGCGTTAATACAGTGAATATGAACAAATTCAACAAACTGTACAATTTATTAAATAAACAATTCCATTAAATAAACATTGCATTAATAAATTCATTATGTTTTTTATTCATCTTTGTTGGGTTATTAAATCAAGGATATATAATACACATTTATGTAAAACATAACTTTATTTGATTTCGCCATCATCAATGAAAGTATTAATGAAAACCGGCCTACAGTTAAAACAACAGGAAACATAAAACATGCAAAAACAAACAAAACAAAAAACAAACAATCCTTTCCTACCGTTTTGAGTAAATGTTTCATGATAGTAAACAAACAGACGATACATCGCGTACACAACGCCATCTATTGCTCAGATATTACACTATCCACCAATCGTTGGGGCTCACAGGCTTTTGTCATGCTTTCCTATCTTTCGTATATCTTGACGTGTAGGCCTACAAGAATACAAGGGCGTGGGGATAGTTGGGGGAGAAGCCAAGGGTTGCGCGTTAGATATGCTGTTTTTCAACGGAAATTGGCAAAACATAGGCTTCAAATGCTTGTAGGAATAAATAATAGAGAAGGATTAATAAAAAAAAGCCTTATCACTTTTCATTCTTGCCCGCACGCAAAACAGGAACTGTCATTCTTGTTGGCCTAAAAAGAAGTGGGATTGGATTTTGGTTGTTTTCTTTCTCGGCCTCTGTTTTTTATGTCTGTCCTTCGTCCCCCTTTCTCTCTCTCTCTCTCTCTCTCTCTCTCTCTCTCTCTCTCTCTCTCTCTCTCTCTCTCTCTCTCTCTCTCTCTCTCTCTCTCTCTCTCTCTCTCTCTCTCTCTCTCTCTCTCTCTCTCCCCTCTTTCATTCTTTCTCTACCTATTTACATAACTGTGACGAATCGGACATAGGGGATATGTACATTTTTCCCACAAAATATGTAAATGTACAAATTCAGATACAACCACACCCAAACAACGATAACTGTACTTTGTCGCGCGTATATCGACCAAATAAAAAATCGGGCAACTTGATCAGCTGGGAATTTCAACTCTCCGTAAATAATATGCATTTTGGAGAGAAGGAAAAGGCTGGCAGAATATTAATAATAATGAGGGATCCGTAACTAATGTAAAAGATGGAAGGGAACACTTAACCTAGATCCGGCGGCCGTTTTGTTGGCTTCATGTGTATAGATATATATTTTACTTTATTATATCATTGTTATCATCATAATTACTTTCGACAAGGAGGTTATGTCTTTGGTAGCGTTGGTTAGTTTTTTGGTTAACAAGACAGCACAGTAAGTTAAGAACAGATTTTTATGACCTTTTTATTATTTTTTTTATTTATTCATTTTTTGTTTATTTATTTTTACCAGGGGTGTGTCTTTGCCCGACTTAGATGCCATTAAATGTTGGTGGTGATCAGGATTTTTTAAAAAGATACAACACGGGAACGCGGGAATCACCAGTGTATTTGAGAAAAAAAAATTTTAATGCATTTCTTCGTGTGAATATTTCTATTGCATCTGAGACAATATTGCTTTGGTGGAAGAATGTCTGTGAGTGCTTTTAGTTATTATTATTATTATTACTGTAATTATTAACATTATCATTATCATTGTTGTCTTAGTAATTATTGTTATTGTTATTTTTATTATCATCTTTAATATCAATATTTTCATTATTATCATGATGATGATAATGATAATGATATTAAAGTGGATAAGTGGGTGGGTGGAAGAGGGAGAGGGGAATCAGGTGGCATCAGGTGGATGAAAGACTGATAGTTAAGTGGAATAGGAATTCGGGAAGGATGAGGAAAGTGGATGATAGGTGGGTAGGTGGAAGAGGAAGTAGAGAGGGAGGGAGAGGAAGAAATAGGAGAAGTGGAGGGAAAGGAGAGGAAGGAAAGGGAGATATGGAAGGGAGGAAGAGGGAAAGAGGGATGGAGGAGAGGGAGATGGAAAGGGAAAAGGAGAAGGTAAGAGAGGTAAGAAAGAGAGGAAAAGGGAAGGAGAGATTGACGGGGAGATGGAAAGGGAAAAAGAAGAAAAGAGGGGTTAGAAAGAGAGGGAAAGAGAGATGGAGGAGAGGGAGAAGGAAAGGGAAAAGGAGAAGGAAAGAGGGGTAAAGGGAAGGAGAGAGAAAAATGATGGAGAGGCGAAAAGGATGTGGAGGAAAGGGGAAATCGATGCAAGAGAAAAGGGAAGGAAAACAGAAACAAAGAGAGAGCGACAAAAATGTGTAAGAAAGATAAAGGACAGACATAGCCAAGCATTCAGAAGCAAAGAACAAGAAAGAACGAGAATTAAACAGAAACAAACACAAAACAACGAAAAAGCAACAACAGCAACGAAAAGTAGAGAAATTGGCTCAGAGCGAAAGGCGTCGCGAAGATCAGCGTGGGAGGCGGGCAGGTGCTGAGTCCAGGTCCCGCCCCTCGTGCTGCCTTCGCCTTGTGTAGTCCGGGCGGCCCGTCATCCCCTGGACTCGCGTGCCCGGACCTTCCTGGGCACAGACGCAGCCGCTATGCCCACACGCCCCCCCCCCTAACCCCGCCCGCGCCCATTTCCGGTTCAGAGCGGAATTAGCGATCGCTTCGAAATCTCTCGGCTAATCGTGACGTCTCTGCTGTCCTGACCAATTATATATACTAATATTTTTGTAGCAATTTATTTATTTTTTTGTCATTTATCATTATTTTATATTTATTTATTTATAATAATAATAATAATAATAATAATAATAATAATAATAATTATTATTATTATTGGGGGGTTCGGTGCATAAAGAAGGGCAGATTCAGTTGATTGAATATTAAGGCGATGGATGCATTAGCAAGATTTGACATGATGACAAAACGTGCGTTAAGATCCTCCATTTGTCAATTATTTAGCGGGTGACATTTTAGTCACGAAAAGGGGCAGGGGTCGTTGGCTGTAGGTTGATTATTGAAGGTAATACTGAATCTAATGATAATTTAGTGGTTATAGTGAGGACGACTGATACGGAAATGATAACTGAAGTGAAGATAAAGTTTCCTGTTTAATTAACTAGCGTTTGGTATAGCTTTCAATCCTGATCATTGTTAATGGCTATAAATACTTTGAGTAAATTGTGATGGGTATGTGACAGGCGTGTTTATCAACGAGACTTTCCATTTCTCTGTTTAACATGACATTTTTTTCTTTCAGTGGAGACGATGGTGATTTTAATGCACTTGGAAAATAATCCTCATCGAAATGAGCTGATGTGAAAACATAGTCCTTATATGGTATCAGTGGTAACGGTTTTATATACATAGTTTTTTCTGTGAAACAGTGCGATTAAGTGTTTAACTAATATACATATTGAATTGCAAGTCCATGCAAAGTTTGAGATGTTAATATCACTTTGAAATTAAATATGCAAGACAAGGAAATCACAGGCAACAACAGCGGTCTGTGTGGTGTTGTAAGAGTGATTGCGATCGTCAAGGAAGTGTGACATGCAGTGTGTCAGAAGTGCGTAGGAATTTCAATCTTTTCGTGTTCGTAGCATGACCATGACCTTCCCACGGGCCACGGCTTGGGTCATGCTGGCCGCCCTCTTGAGCTGGCCAGCGGAGGGATGCTGGCCAGGATACATAGAGGACGCCGTGAAGGAGTCAAAGGTCGTGCTCATGGCCAAGGTCATCCACCTCGAGGCCCCCCGAGGTCAGGAGACGTACCCCGCGGTCGAGATCCAGGTCAGGGAGATCCTCAAGGGCGCCGACGCGTACCAGGACTACCTCCTGCCGCGGCACGTCGACCAGCTGCCCCTGGACGACGAGGCCACGGCGCTCGAGGATCCCCTGGACGACGACGAACCCGAGATCGATGACGACATCCTAGAGGTCGAGGGAGTTACGACCTCGACCTCCTGCGCAGGGAGGATCCGCGAGGGAGACACAAGGATCTTCTTCCTGGACGCGGAGGAGGAGGAGTCGAGGTCAAGGCGTCAAGGCGTGTCCCTCCGCGTGACAGCTCAACCTGTCAGGCTCAGTCTGAAGAGCATGAGGTGGATCAAGGCGGCTGTGCAAGGTAAGGACGAGGCGCGCTTGTCTTAAGGGAAATGAACGGGCGTTTGTCGGTCTGACTGACAGCTGAGTGGATCGATTCCACGCCCAAAACGGTCCTTGTTGTGCGTTTATTTGGCAGATCTGTGGAGGGTTTAAATGAGTTTACGCTATACTTTAATGGCATTTTATATATTTTGGGTTTCAAAGAATGTGAGGAAAGATGTAAAAATGTATAACAACATAGAAAGGCGCCCTGATAAGGTGAAATATACATGTATGTCAGTAGACACATCAGTCATTTAATAAGTTAGTAAAATAGATTGATATATATCAAAGCGTGCAAAAGGTAGATACACATTTAAAACACATACATCATTGCATAGATATACACATGTGTATGTATGCGTCTGTCTGTAGCAAATATTTATTAAATTCACGCTTGTAACAGACACGCACACACATGAACACATAAACAAACAATCACACGCGCACTCAGAACTAATAAGTAAACACATACATCCACTCACACACATTCCCCCTCACATACAAAAACACACATACAAACCCCCCCCACACACACACACACACCCTCCCCACCCCCTCACACACACGCACACATCCCAACCATTCACTAAAAAAAAGTTTCTTGCACTCTTCCCGTCTGGCAACCCTCGCCCTCGATGGCCGGGGCGGGGCGGAGGAACCCACAGGAGGTCAGGACATAACTCAGCGCGGGATAACGAGCGGTTCTACGCCGTGTAATTAGGTGTTGAAGTGAGATAAGATGGTGGCTGTTGCTGTTCAACTCCTCGACTTCTTGAAGATACGAGAGTTAATTCGGAACGTGTGATTTGGTGTTGCTGATTTTTATTATTATTTATTTCCCTTCCTTGTGTTTTTTTGTTCTTTTTTCTTTATTTTTTTTCTTGAAGATTAAGAGAAGAGGGATTGTTTTGTTTCCGCGTCGATGGAAGGTTGAGATTGTAAAGGAAATTATTGGAATTATTTGTCGTTAATCAGTCGGGTTCAGGTAGCAGCTTGGAGGTTAGAGAGGAAATGGATGTTTACTTATCTGTTTTATTTACAGAGACGCGTTGGGGGGGGGGGGTGTAGCTTCAGGGTAGGCTAGAAGAAACACACGTACGTTAAGGATAAAATTTAAGAGCTACTGAATCACTGGCAGATAAAGGACTAACAAATGATGAGAATATCTGGGACGTTATAGAGAAGAGGATCTGAAGGATTAAAGGATATGATAAAATTTAGGGATTGAATGCTAAGAAGAGAGAGAGAG